AATAATCTTACTAGAACACTGGTTTACCAAAACAGCCCAGATAGTTAGTGCTGATCCAGCACTCCAAGCCAAAACATTACCCACTCCAGAAGAACATCTGGGTCCATTCTTCTTCTTCTCACAACAACACACAAGGCTGAAGTGAGCTTGACTCGAGCACACAGAGCATAACATAAAATGCATGAAGATTACACAAACATGAATAATAATCAGTAACCATGAAATGTCTCCCACACATTGTTCGGATTAAGAAACGTACTTTAACGATATTAAACAAGTGTTAGCGTGACGACTTTAGATTTTACCCCCAGCATGCACTTCATCGCTGTAATGACATCTTGAACAAACAGTGTCCCATCACCGTAACTGATCAGTTATGCGACACCAAAAAATGCAGTTTTTGAACAAAATGACTGTCTTCAAATAAAAAGTTACTTTCGGCTGCTGCCGTATTCACATGGGGTAATCACCACAGCGGGTAGCTCCGCATGTTTGATTTAGCAGATTTTGAATACCGGATTCCCTTCATGATGCAACCCCAGAGGGATTTGTGTCTCCTCCAGGGATCAGACGGCTATCAGTTTAAAGTCAGCTACACCTAATGCAGTAAAACCAGTAATGAGTCGCTGGTTTTAAACTGAACTGATTAATCAGAAGATAAAAAAGAACATGAATAGAAAGCAGCTGTGTATTTTTTACACTTGCTTTCTCCTAAAACAGTCAAATAGTATCTGCATGATCGCTATGGAAGACTTTTCTCCACCTACAGCAAGGCAAAATACGCCTGAGGTAGAACCAGTAAGGATGGCTGGAAAGTTCTGATTTCTGGCTCACTCTGCCTCATCTTTTCACACATGCAGAAGGATCTCAGATCATTCTCAATGACACGCACCATAATGTGGAGCTGATCTGTAGTGTGGAGCTGAGGCCAAACAGAGGTGAGAGGAGACGGATAAAGACCAGAATGGCTGCCCAATAGAGGAAATCAGGCTGGAAATACAGGTGGATGCACATTTCACTGTATGAATTAGCTCTGTTCAGGTCATTACATTGTGTACACTGCTGCAGTAAGTACCAGCTGACCAGACTAACTCTACAACAATACTTAAAGCCATAGTTCATACAAGTCTCAACCTTTCTTTGACCCGAGGTCCAATCGAACTATAAAGTCTATTAAAGGTCTCTCGGGCATTTATGTCCAAGACTTCTGCACTACTAGCTAATAAAATAAGGTACACAGTCAATAAATTGACTCCGTAGCTTTTTGCAGTGTAGCAGAAACACGGAGACGGATTTAGACAGAAACAGGATCTTCAGTGGATGTGTGCTGCTGGAAAGAAAACATTTACAAAAAAGATGAGAGGAGCGCGAGGGATTAACATGCAAAGGATGGTGAGACTAAAGCGGCAGCATATTCAACACTTTGTTTTAGTACTGTCAAAGTTTTTCTGCGTGACTCAGCTGAAAACTGTCCCAAAAACTGCACATCCAAGAGACACTGGCTGGCCTGTACGGCTGCTGAGGCAGAAAGCGAGGAGGAAAGTTTGTGGGAAACATTTCAGCCCTTACAGTATGCCTCGCACTTGACTTGGGGGTGGGTGGGGCTGCCCTAATATCTGTATACATTTTTACATGATATAAAGTGTCCTACTGAAATATCACCGATACAATTCCTTTCTCTAACACACAATGACGAGACAAGCCCAGACATGTCTGAGAGTGAGAGCAGCTAGTTAGAAAAGTGTTCTCACTAAAGGTGGAAACAACAAACCTGTTTCAACAAACCTTGAGGCACAAAAGGACCGTTGAGTCTGCTATAAAGGCATGTAAGGAGGAGATGCTAGCAGCTGGTGATGCGTAACGCAAATGGAAACAAACGACTCCACCAGCATCACTGGAGCATTTGCCTGTTACACTTTGTATGACAGGAAGAGCAAACAGTGGACGGAAAGTAGCTTTAAGCAGCTGATTAAAAAGCTGAACCCACCATCATAGGCAGGAAACATTTTTTTATTTCAGTTTTATTATGCAACAACATTGTGCAGCTCCTAAACTTTACATATTTCACTTACTTTAGTTACCGTTAGACTAAAGCAGCTGTGTTGTAGTTTGACTTTCATGATTTCCATTCAAAACACTACGTAAGCTTCTTTTGCATTGACAGTTAACTTATGCTACGTCGCTATAATCCTCCTCCTGCTGCCACTTAGTTTTAATAGGTTCACATAATGACAGCAAACAGTTGGAAAAGAAAGATGGAAATTAATTTTATCTGCACTAATAAATGCTGCCGTCTATAAGTTGCAATCACAGATCTTGTTTCTTTTTCTACACTATCAGAAATATCTTTATCGTAATATTCCTCAAAATATCGGTGATATTACTTTGAGGCTACAGAAAAACGCCACGTTTACATGGATGTCATGAAAGACATGAGGCTCTTCGCTTTTGCATTACACACCTGAAACTCTGACATCCCTGTCACGCTGTATTTTGACTGTAGTAGCAGGTTTTGATAACAGTGATCAGAAAATGCTGATTTGGAGCAGAGTCTTACAAATGAAATGCTAAGAAATGGCGTGTTATTCAAGGTGTTAACCAGCTGAGGTATTTTATTTTTTTAAATGCAGCCACAAGGATCAATTATCCACCCTTTCTGTTGTTTTTTTCTTGAAGCCTCTTAGTCACCACTGGCACATTCCTTAAACAAAGGAACTCTTAAGTATTCACATTCTGAGTGAGGAATCCAGGGTCTGCATTCAGTTTTTCACCCTTCTTTCCAAAAATGACCCTGTACTTGTTAGAGCTTTGTAATGGCCTACGAGGTGCCCCATACTTTTTGCTCTACTTTGCCTGCTTCACACAATTTTCTCATCCAAGGACACTTTGGCATGTGGACCGAGGGAGCTGGCAATCACTCACTTCACTTCCACCAACAAGGTGAACAAGGAAAGCTAGATACATCACCATTAGCTGTTTTTAACCCCATTTAATGGATTTTCGCTTAAGGCGACCCTGATACAGTATAATGAATATTGCAGCAGCCCCATAACTTTTCAAGCTTAATGAATCTGGCTTTCAGAAAATGAGGTACACTTGACATGCAAACACATTCTTCTCGTACAAGGTTATCATCCTGCACGCCTCACTTGTTCATTTAAACAAAAGCAAAAGAACGAAAGATCAAAAATCAGCCAGAAATCTCAACTCTAATTCCAAATAAAGTAAGATGTGATAAAAAAAAAAAAAAGGACCAGTCTTATTAAGACCTCACTGCGCTCTTTCTTCCTTTTTCTTTTTGTTTTGTAAGACTATTTTGTCTTTCATGGGAGCAGTAGTCTCTAATTTCTCCTGGGAGCCACAAGCTGCTGCTATCTCAGCTGTGTTTACTAATCTTCCCTCGACACCAATTTCTCAGCCCCGCAAAGTTAATACTGGTCCAATGTAAATAGCCTTATCTCATAAACTCTTGTTATTCCCCCCACCTTAGCTGCCCAATGTGATACATGGTTAGAAGTCAACACAAGGGGATTAAGTCAGAGAGGAGGAGAAAAAGACAAAAACTTCCTGTGCCTGTATCTGCGGTAAGATTATCCACCTTAAATAACACGGCAGAGAAAATGTCAAGTTATAACACAATGAAGAAACGCTGCTGTCAATATACAGTGACAACATTTAGGAGAGGAACATGAATAATACACGGGTTCTTGTGCAGGGCTGAAGGATGAGCGTCTAAGAAATGAGACAGAATTTGTCTCCTGGTCGACGGCTCGATAGTGGACTGACGCTCACAGCCGTCGTGTGCAGATTACGCTACCTGCCTCATTCCACCTGTGCAGGTCTGTTCCACTGATGGCTCTGGATTGTTGTAAATGCCATGGCAGTAAGTTTTAATTAAACCCGAAGGGAAAAGAATTAATAATCTCATTGCCTGCTGTGAACTGGATGGCGGCTGCAGGCAGATTCTCGCTCGAATGCTGATGATGTGTGGCTGAATGAAGAGTGATTTGGGATTAAATGTGAGATTTATCGAGTTCAGAAGTGTATTTGGATAACCACCTGCAGACAAGAAGTGATTTTAATGCTTTAAATCAAAACCACAAGTACCCGGCTTTTAAATTACCCCTGCAGGGTGTTTTTGACCGTTTTCAAAGGCTACTTGAGTTGATAGTTTCCAAACGGACAGAATGTTCCCTAAAGCCTGCATTTATTTCTTTTTAGATGATGTATCTGATTGTATCCTATCTTGTCATCTCTCCATCTGTTCCTCTTAGCTGCCCCGTCTTTATGTCTACCGAATTAGCTCTGTTCTACCAACAAATCATACCAGTGCTTTCTTTGAGGCTTAAAGAAACGGTTCCTCCTATTTAGTGTGCAAGTGCTCTCCCCATCCTCTTGTAAAAGGAACACTTAAATGTACGTCTGTGTCATGGATTTGTTGCATTCTCATTACCATATCATACACTGATTGATTGGTTAAACCCGAGGGAGGTCAATTTCTTAATCATATTCCAAGTTTTCCCCCAGTAGAAGTAGTTTACCGGAGAGAGCACTGCAGCCACTGGTATTTTATGCTGAGAAGCTGAAACAGCAATCTTCTCTTTGTCAGATCCCTGTAGGTATTTGTTAATGCAGAGATGGAGGAGCGCCTTATAAACTATGCATGCCATCACCCTCTGGCAACCACCAGTGGAGAAGATGATGGCAGGGAAATGCTGGTTTCCATTAGTCCTGTGAGGCTGGTTAACATAAAATTATCCTTGGGGTTAGCAGGAAGCAGATAAAACCAGGGTGAGGGCTTCATTAAATTTGATGCATAACGGACACAGGACATTTTTAAAGGCCGATAATGCCAGCCACATTAATACAAACAAGTCTATGTATTTCCCAGACATGAAAACAGGGCGCCTGTGTCCCATGCACGCTCGTGTGCCGTGTTTCAGTGTCTAAAAAAACTACAAAGTAAAGAGGACAGGGAACCATGAGCACAGAGTACTCACCCTTCAGCAGGTCAGAGTTGGCAGAAGGTGAACTCTGTGTCCTAAACAACAGCCAGTCAAAGTCATCCTCCTCTCCTTGGGTGAAGTCACACAGATTAGGGTCTGAATCCTCTTCGAACGTGCAGCCAGCAGCTAAAAGGTGAGAGGAAAACGTCAACTCAGTGACAGAAACAAAGTACATCAAGACAGATTCACCTCAAAGGTTAAAACTCCACACAGGTTAATACATAATTTTCTACTTTCATTGAAATCAACAGCCTATTTAGTGTTGAAGATGAATAAGAAAACAATAAACTAGATATTTGTTTAAGAAGCCATAACTAGAGAATGCAGCGGTTATTGTTTCAGCTTTAGTGTCATGGTAATTTTATGAGTCACAACTTAATGTGACCTGTTTTTTAAATTCCCCCCGGGACTTCTTCCTTTTATGGAAACTGGGAAAAACAAACACAGCTTCACAATGTCTTCCTCCTACATCTTCCAATCTTAGCTGCCAGCCACAACTAGATGTGCATCAAAGCCACACTCACCACCTCTCGACGCTTTCTGGCCAAATAAATAGCCTCAGCTCAGTGTTGATGCGAATGCCAACGACACAGCCCTGGTTTCAAGTAATAACTTAGGTGTAACAAATTGGTACAATAACTGTAACAGGGATTGCAACTTGTGTCTCTCCTAGAGTCGTTTTTTCACCCATAACAATTACAAAGATGTTTCACTGTGAATGCTACGTTATTTGTGCTAAAATTCAATAAAGTGATCAAACAACACTGTTGTAGCAATTTGCAGACAAACTGCTGTCAGAAATCAACAATGTGACCACCAGTCACATTTTAATGCAGGCTCAACCCCATGTCGTTCTCAGTGTGCATTTCAAGCACACCAACTTGTTCTAATATGAATAAATTCTCTCCAACCAAACCAACAATAAGCCCGAGCCATGTGAGCGATAATTACCTCAAACTCGCACAAAAAGAAACAAAGCCTGGCAAAAGCAATGATTACCCCTGAATCTGAGGCGAAATACCCCTCCCATAAAGCATTGACAAACAAGACTACACATCCTAAAGCCCTTTCACAAAGGCATATACAAATAGCAATAACATTTGCAGAAAGCAGCCACTCTGGGGAATGTAGTGATTATAATAATACCTCACAACCTGCCATTCTATGCGCCAAAAAGCAAATTTTTTCAAATTATATTTAATAGCTATGGCTTTAATGGCCCTTGGGTCCAGAATAATGTGCTTCAGTTGTTGCTCTCTGCATCTGTTGCCATATTTCACATTAGTCCATCGGCATGAGAATTACACTCTAACAGTGGGCAGTTTGAACTGCTCAGTCATAAGACCAGAGGTTGTGTCAGTACTAATTGGAGCAGGACAGCACGAAACAGTCACGCTAATGACAGGAATAACCACAAGCAGGTTCTGAAGGTGACCCCTGTGATATACAACTTTATTGCTGCTCTTTTTTCTCTAATCCTCAATTTTGAAAAATGGCTTCAGTATGACAGGCTGCAGAGAAAAACACATGCAGACTTTCTGTAGTGAGGAATCATAACTCTGTTACTATTGTGACCGCTCCAGTTGTTATAGTTAGTTAGTTATAGGGCAAATAATATTGTAGCATCTGATTTTTATTTTATCCTGTGGTTTCTGGGTGTGTGTGGGTGATTTTCAATGCTGTAGTGCAAATAATCAAATCAGAGGCTGACTGACTGTCACATCGAGGGCATTGATCCCACAACAGTGGAGATGACACTACTTGGGGGGTTGATCAGATCAGTGCCATTCCAGCTTTTCATTAAATCTAAAAGCACTCCTGTTTCAGAGTGAAAACTACCATTTAATAAATAAAAAAGAAACTAGATTCAAAGCATCGCAGGACTTGCCCCAAAAAACCTAGAAATATTCCTGCTGTGTATCAACAGCTTGTCTGATAATTGATAGATCAGAGTTCCTTACAAAGGTGAGATGCACAGCTCTTTCTTGCAGCTTGTCGAACTGCAGCTACAACTCGAGGCTGCTGTTGGTGGCATCCTGCAGTTGTGAAGGTCGTCTCTAAAGAAATTACACTCACGGTCTGTTGGCTTTGCAAGTGATGGTACATCTGCTGTGATGGGCTGCTAGAGAGGAACGACCACTCTCCCGAGTGAAAAGATAATCCCTAACGTGACATCATTGACGAGTTAAAACTTGTGCTCCATGATGATGTAGACCACATTACAGATCTGAGTCATTTTCACATACTTATTTGCTCTAAAAGTCTACTGTTGTAAATGGAGCAGAGGGTACTTCAACATGTATGAAAAGCAGAAAAGGTTTAGCATCAAAGCAGTCTTTTGTATATTTTTTACAGCATAATATATTATTTTAATTGACAGCATGTTGTGCTGTTTAAATTTGAGCTTACTGCATATTAAGTACTGAAATTAAATGGCACAAGTAGGCAAAGAGCACAGAAGGGGGTTTCATTCTGGCACGCTAAACTGCTGACTGGATCATCTGTGTCTGAAGAGGAAAACATGAGACTAAGCATAGTGCACATAACAATTTCATTAAAAAAAATTATAATATCCTTGTATTGTAGGCAGCACGGTGGCACAGTGGTTAGGGCTATTGCCTCACAGCAAGATGGTCCTGTGCTCGACTTCACCATCTGGCCAGAGTCCTTCTGTGTGCAGTTTGTATGTGGTCCGGTATGCACTTAGTGGGTTAGGTTAGTTGATGATTCTAAATTGCCACCCAACAATGTGACTGTGAGTGCAAATGGTTGCAGACTGACGACCTGTCAGTCTGCAACCTGTCTGCGACCTGTCCGCCTCCTGCCCTATGACACTTGGGATAAGATAGATGTCATGTTGACAGCGTAAAAAATAGCCTATTCTAACAGACTTCAGAGTATATAGGACCATTCTGATTCCTGAACTATTTTTGCAAAAATAAATAAATAGAATGGAAATGAACAGATTTCCCGTTTCCTGGCTTAGATAAGGGAATATCTGATTTAAAAACAAAAATCAGGTTAAGGCACTAAAACTAAATTAAAGTTAACCCGCTGACTAATTTAGCAACTCAATCCTCTTCTCTTTCTTCCTGTCATGTGGCAAGCACCTCACAAAGGCAAAACAAATGTCCCAAACTACACTTGAAAACAGACAAAAACAACATTAACCATATAAAGCCACACTAGCAGCCATATAGTGGCATATTGAGACAAATAGATGCTTTGACGGACATGCTAACCTGCTTAAAGTACCATCCAGCCTTCTGATTTATAAAATTGTGTGTTGCTGCTGTCTTGTTTCAAAGGTTACCACCAGTCCAATTTATTGAACTGCGGCACAAACAAACACTTAGGGTGCCCTTGCCTACGGCCAGCCTATTACAATATCGCTACAGCCTTCACTGATTGTATGATAGCACAGGAGCACATTTACAATCATGTAAGCTTGGTCCATTGGGTGACGGTAGCAGCCAACCAGGAGAGGTGGGAGTGTGTGCATCACCCTCTGGGTTTGATTTATTGCCCCATGCTGGGCTGTTACTGCACAGATCTGCTGCTGAGGCCAGGGGTTAATTGTCCCGCACTGGGGTCTATTTCTAATAGAACAGCCAGAGATATGGGACCTGACACATCCAAACGCTGGCACTATATTATTCCCCGCTGCTTCAGTAAATGAAGCACACAGACTCCTCCCTACAAAAGTCTCGGAGAAGGAAGCCAAGATCTGAGGCCAGAGCTACCCGGGAATGTCATCTCCTTTAGAGCACACTGGGAGAGATCCAGCTCATCTATCATGACAAGCACTCTCCCTCCGCTGCTCCTTCTGGAGGACCGATGGATGTGCGGGGTGTCAGTGGCCATTTTTTACCTGAATAATTACAGCATAATTTAGTGCACTGACCAGTGCATAGCTAGACACCGCCAAGGTTTGGTGGCTGAGAAAAAAGACTCATTTAAGAGCTTGAGCCACTGTTCATCCTGTTGTTGGCTGATGTATGTATTTGGCAACATAAAATGAGATGTTACTACTTCTTGGATAAACACTTTCTAGGAATGACACAAATGAATAGAATAAATCAAGATAGACGACAACGTCCAGTCTCAGTGTTGAGGCTTTCCATTTTTATTACAAAGGAAGTGGCTAATCTGCTGTCAGCCCCTTCTTCTCTCAGCATTTGCAGCTTGCAGAACCAGCAATAAGGCTTTTTCTAAAAGATTTTCTTATGAATCTTCCATGTTTTTTATCGTAATCCCAATAATGTAAATTTTAAATGCATATTTAAATTCATAATAATTATTTATTTACTTGCCAAATCAAATCAAATGTTTTACTTTTTTGAAATCTGACCAGCCAACACCAGTCAACTGCTTGTTAAGGCAAATATCTAATCAGCCTGTCACACGGCATCAACTCAGTGTGTTTAGGCATTCAGACATGTTCAAGATGACCTGTTGAAGTTCAAACCAAGCATGCAAATGGGGATTTTCCAAGCGCAATCGTCTCTCGAATGCACAGAGTGGTCAGAAAAAGAAAGAAAGCTCAAAAAAGGAAACAGAGGCTACAATTCACCCAACAGAAAACTTGAAAAATTGGCATCCATAATACTTTCTATCATTAGCTCAGGCTGGTTGTGACGATAATGGTGTGGAGGATATTTTCTTAGCACACTTTAGACCAGTTAGTACCAACTACATATCATTTAAATACCACGGCCAACTTATGGATTGTTGCTGAACATGTCCATCCCTTTATGACCACAGTACCCATTATCTGAACACACCATGTCACAGAGGACACAACATCGCAAACTGGTTTCTTGAACACGACAATGAGTTGAGCACCCATTGTATTCAAATCGCTTACACAGTCACCAGATCTCAATCCAATAGAGCACCTTTGGGTTGCAGCAGAACAGGAGATGCACATCGCAAACGTGCAGCTGACAAATCTGCTGCAACTGCATCAATGTGGACTAAAACCTCTAAGGAATGTTTCCATCATAAAGAGTTAAGACAGTTTTGAAGACATATGGGGTTCAACCTAATACTAGCAAGTGCATGCTATATTTTAGGTATATCATTTGTAGAGCAAATGTCAGCCGTGATGAACTAGTTTTCAGGAT